CTATGCATTTGCCTATTCTAGACATTTCATATAAATCGGATTATACCATATGTGGACCCTTGTGACCAGCTTCTTTCACTTAGCATAATGTTTTCAAAAGTCATCCAAGGCATAGCATTCATCAGTACTTCATTCCTTTTTGTTGTTAATTTTTCATTGATCATATTTTGTTTAATCATTCATCCATTCATTGATTAATATTTGATTGTTTCTACCATTTGGCGATTTTGAATAATGCTGCTATAACATCCATATACAAGTTTTGGTGTGGACATACATTTTCATTTCTCTTAGGTATATACCCACAAATGGAATTGCTGAGCTATGGAATAACTGTTTAACTTTTTGAGGAATTGCCAAACTGTTTCCCAAAGCTGCTGTGTCATGTTACATTCTCATCAGCAATGTATGAGCGTTACAATTTTTCCACATCTTGTCAACACTTGTTATTCTCTATCTTTATTATGGCCATCTTAGTGTGTATAAATGATGCTTCATTGTGGCTTTGATTCACATTTCCCAATAGCTAATGAAAACATCGTTCTTTACCAGATAACACAACAACTAATTTCATTTTTTCACACATTACATTCCAAGGGTTTTTCTGCCATATTGTAACATAGCTACAATCACAGTCTCACTCTCTTTATCTAAGTAATGGCTCAGAGAGGATGCAGTAAATTTTAGAACAAGATGTCATGCCCCAAAGGGATAGGAATCTGGGAGAACTGCTATCTGCATGCAGACTCCCTCACTCATTACCAGATGTTGATATGAAACACACTTTTTCTTATTAAAGCAACAGATTGGAAGAATGTGAATCTCACTATGAAAACATGAGTTTCTGTTCTTGCAAACCCTGAATGTGTCATGACATGTACCAAAGTCAAGCTCATTTATTTGGAGGCATCTGGCTGAGCCATAAAGTACAGATGGAGCATTCTCAGGTAGATATGGGACCAAGCTATCAAAAGTAAAGTGAGAAGGAGAGGAAACAAAATCTGTGTGGGGAACCTTTACATTAAATGGTGAAATCCATATCATTAAGCTCAAAGTCCAGCAAAACTTATTCTTCACCATCTTCCCACTCCCATAATGCATTCTAGTTGGATTTCTCTAAACTCTTGAAGCATGCTATGTTCCCTCTTTAGTACAGGCCGTTCCTTCCTGCAGGAGGGCTGTGCCCTTTCTTTTTGTTTGGCAAATGCCTCCTCATCCAGTGCTTTCAGCTGAGACATCCCACACCTGTTTAGTCCTTGTATCAGTTTCCTATCACTGCTCAAAATTACCGCAAATTTTGTAACATAAAACAACTCACATGTTCTCCTACAATCCTCAAGGTTAAAAGTCTCACTGAGCTAGGATCAAGATATCAGTAGATCTATATTCCTCCTACACGTTCTAAGAATCCATTTCTTTGCCTTTTCCAGCTTATGGGGCCTGGTACAGCCAAGGGCTATGGCTGCTTCCTCCATCTTCAAAGCCAGAAGTGTAGCATCTTCAAAATCTCTCTCATCGCCCTCCCCCTCCCCACTTCCTCTCTCTCTCTTTCTGTCTCTCTCCCTACTTTCATCCTCACATCTCCTTATCTGACTCTGACCCTACTGCCTCCCACTTCTAAGGATCCTTGTGATTACATTGGCCACACCCAGACAGTCTATGATAATCTCGCATCTGCAAAATCCCTTTTGCCATGTACAGTGGCATATTTACAGGTTCTAGAGATTAGGACATGAACATCTTTGGGGAATATTGTTCTGTCTACCACAGTTCTCTCATCATAATGCCACAACACTCTGAAAAACTATAGAGATTAATTGATTTGAAGGTATTGCTTTCATAAACTGGAACCACCTTGCAGAGCCATCCCTGTTTGCTTCACATACATTTCTAGTGTCCATTGCATGCTGGCGTGCAATAAATATTTGATGACTAACCGGGTGAGTGGCCAAGTTGGCTTTGCTGGGCTAGATTTCCTGGGAGAAGGCAGGCTGAGATTATGTTGTAAGAGGCATTGAAATGACTAGCTAAGTAATTCGGATTTTATTCTGTACACTCTGAGACCCATCAAATGTTTTCAATCAGGGATTAACATGATTACAATTGTGTCATCTGAGGTTAACATCAAGATGGCAACAGGGAGAAACTGAAGGCAGGGTGACTAAGAAAGGGGTCACAGCAAATGAGGACCCAAACTAGGCAGTGACATTGTGAGTGAACAGTTGGAGAGGGATGTAAGAACTCAGACACATTCTACTTCAAATCCTGTTTAGAATGGAGCAAATGGGAAGTACACACTACAGGATTTGAAAACTTATAGGAGAAGAGAAGAGGAAACAAAAGGGGGAGGAGTAAAGGCATTCTGGTCTGGTAAACCTAGGCAAGCAGAAAAATGGTGATACCAACCAAAATAAGGAACACATAAAATGAAACATGTTCAGAGGAAAGGGGAGCTGATTTGTCCTGTTTCAGACATGTAGAATTCGAGCCCATTGGGCATGATGAGCAGATATCTAGGAAGAAATCAGAAAATATATATTGGGAGCTCAACTACAAGATTCTGGCTAGGCACAGAGTGAGGAGTCTCCCCTAGAGGGATGACGGTTGAAGTCACAAAAGTAAATGGGACAATCGAGGGACAATGACCTGAAGGAAAATCACAGAACTGTAGGGATGTCCAAAGACAATTCCTGGAGACAGAAGAGTAGCAAGAAAGGTAAGGAGAAAATTGAGATTATCTGTGTGTGATGGGGATAGGACGAGGAGGGAGGGGAGATGATGCTCTCAGTTTTGCCCAGAAGTCTAGCCAAAGGAGTCTAAGAAGATTCTTGGAACTTAGGGAACTTTAAGAGAATGGTTTCAGTAAGTAGAGGGGATAGAAAAGAGATTGCCAAGGTTTAAGGCGCTCACCAGAGAATAAAAGTAGTCATGGCCACTTATGTTTTCCAGAAGCTTGGCAGTTTATACAGAGTCAAGAAGAATTTCAGGGTGGTTCTGCCCTTGGCTCTTTGCCTGAGTTTGAGTGGCATAAGCTTTACAGTCCCTTTCTTCAACTGTAAAATAAGCAGTTTGGAGCTAGATGCTACCCAAGGTTCTTTCTGAGTCTAAACTTTGCTCTTTCCAACCCTCAGATCCCAAAATGCTGGTGAAAACTCAATTCTAAGGCATCTGAGAAGCGATCTTCAGAGTATTCTCTAAACTAAAAATTGCCTTCCGAAGGAATTCTAGCAGAGTTAGTCTGAGAGACTGTGTGCGTGAAAGTTGAATAACTTTTTTTCTAACCTAAAAACCGTAAAGCATTATACCGATTTCACACAAAAATCCTCGCAAAACACTCTGTCAATTTATTTTTGAAGCTGTCTTATTCTAATTACTTTCTCTTTGGTGACATGAGTGAGCCTCTATTTTTAAACACAATATTCCTCTCTGCTGCATTTTAAAATTTAATTCCAGTCTCCATCATTATATATTTACCATTCAATTCTTCCCAATAGATATATTTAGACATTGCATATTTTTTTCATATGCTCAATACCTTTTGAAAGTCATTTTTTTCCAATTTCAAAGCCTTGGTTGACATATACTAGGTAAGAAGAAGCAAATGACCAAGAGTAAAGCCACAAGCATGAGAAAAAATGGTACTGAAAAGCAAAACCTAGAATTCAGTGTCTTGTATACAGGGCGTCTCAACCTCAGCACTATTGACATTTTATGCAAGATAAGTATTTGTTTGTGGTTGTTTTGGGGTGTTTTCAGTACCCTCACCCTATACCCACTAGATGCCAGTAGCACACTCCTGCTCCAGTTGTGGCAATCAAAAATGATGCCAGGCATTGCCAAATATACATTAGGGTACAAACTTTCTCCTGGGTGAGAACTACTGGTCTTTATGATGATCTCTCTAAAACACCCAGAGTATAGGGGCCGGATTTTAAGAATTCAAAGATGAGTAACAGTTCTGCTTTCCAGGAGATCAACAGTGCAAGAGAACAATTTGATAACATGGAGATGTGGGAAATATAAAACTATTATGTTTATATGCCAACTACCAATGGTTTACAGGATTCTTGGCATGATTTCCCCATGCCCATCTCCTCTGAGGGTCTGTCCTCTACTTCTTTCATGCTTCCAATCCATGCTCCCCCAGACACCAATTTAGCTCTAAAACACATCTGATCATGCTATACCCTCATGCTTAAAAATCACCAATCTCCCCCACTCTCTACAGCAGGGTTTCTCAGTCTCAACACTCTTAACTGCCAGATGATTATTCTTTGTGGGGCTGTACACTGTACGGTATTTAGAAGCAACCCTAGCCTCCCTGCTAGATGCCAGTAGGAACTCCCCTGTGGTAGGCAGAATAATGTCCCAACAAAAATGCCCACGGCCCAATCCCTGAAACATGTGAATACATCATAGCAAAGGGGAATTAAGGCTTCAGGTGGAATTAAAGGTCACTAATCAGCCAATTTTAAAATAATGAGATTATCCTGGATTATCCAGGTGAGACCAATCTCAAGAGTCCTGAAAAGAGTCAGTGAGAGAAATGACCACACAAGAAGGGTCGATAAGATGCAACATGGATGGCTTTGAAAATGAAGGAAAGGGGCCACTAGAAAAGGAACAACAGATTCTAGAGCCTTCAGAAGGAACACAGGCCAACACCTTGAAGTTAGTCTGCTGAAACCTGATGGGATTTCTGAGGTCCAGAACTGTAAGACAGTAAATCTGTGCTGCTTTAAACCATTAAGTTTGTGGTCATTACAGCAGTGATAGGAAATTAATACACTACCACCTCCATTTGTGACATCCCAAAATGTCCTCAGACATTGCCAAATGTGCCCTGGGGACAAAGTCACCTCCAGGTTAAGAATCAACATAGAGTCCAAACTCCTGAGAAGAGCACAGTGAGACTTTTCGTAATTACCTCTATCCTACATGTTGAACACTATTATCCTACACACAGCAAGATACATCCTCTGCTGCAGGCACACCAAACTTCACTTGGGAAACATTCCATACGCCTTCACTCTCTGCAGTTGTGATGCCCACGGGCTCCTTGGAGGATGAGTACTGTGCTCACAGCTGCAGGCATTTATGAGTGTCGTGGGCACAGGGGCTGTTGTATGAACAATTTAGGTTAAAGCAGACAATATTCTGAAAGAACAAAGTGGAAATGAGTGAGATCCGTCAATGGCTAAACCTGAAGGTGAATTCTTAGGATTTCCTATGGATTCAATCAAAGAGAAACAAAATTTGAACAGACTGTAAAGGGTACATGACTCCAGAGGGATCCTCGTGGTTTTGGAATCAAATGAAGATCCCAGGCAAACTTTAGGCCAGCTGTAAACACTTTTGTGAGCACTCTCTTGATGGCCAGCATGGGGTACTATGTTCAACCTTAATAACACAGCAGTTCTCAAGTAGGGCGATTTTGACCCCCAGAGGATACTGGGCAGTGTCTAGAGACATTGTTCGTTGTCACGCTGGTCTGGAGGAACACTACTAGCATCTAGTGGGAGGAGGCTAGGGATGCTGCTAAATACCCTGAAAACCCAGGACAGCCGCATAGCAAAGAATCATTCAGCTTCAAGTGTCAATAGTGCCAAGGCTGAGAAACCCTGAGCCAGAGCAACCAGAAAAGTTTAAGAACCAAATCTATATGAACCAGATATTCCCTCCAGGGCCTCTAAGCAGCCTTGCAAGACGCTCATTTGCTGACATTTGACATCATTAGTAAGGATTCTCCTTTAAGGACCAAAGACCCAGCTTGCCTGCAAGTGAAAAGGACAGGCAGTGCTCAATAAGATGCATTTTCTTGGTTTTTGAGAGGATTCCAGGGCGTTAAACCTTTGAAAGGTAATCCAGGCCATTAAATGAGAGATCCAGGGCTTATGTTAGGATATCTTGGCCTTTATTAAACAAAACCAGGGTTGGATCTACACACTAGAGTTCTATCCAATCACTCCATGTCTGCCTCAAGCATAAAGGGATTTCCACCCCCTTCCCACCAAACACACACACACACACACATTCTATGAGAAAATTTTGTTCTTTTGCTAGATGGCTACATCCTTACTTTTAATCATCGCAAAAAGGTGAAAAACATGGTAGACGAGTCTTGTGCAGATTGCCCACTGTATGGAATAGAAGCCACCCAGTATTGCTGCAGTTCAGATCCTTGTCCATTGATTGAGATGCTAATGGATAAGAATATAATTTGCAACAAGTGAAATCATCTACAGCCAAATGCCTTTTGAGGATAACAGCAATTAGCAGCATCTGTATACTATTTTGCAAATATGTATATGGTTGCTAAGTAAAGCAGGAACGTTATTAGTGATACAATTGGTTTTAAGCACAAATGTTAGTGGCTAGCTAATCCAAAATGTTGGCTTGCTTTTGCATTTCTTTCTCTCAACTCCTACAGATTAATCTGATAATGTGTGCTTCTGAAATACAGCGGGAATCCAGCCCCTCTTAAAGACCAACAGAAATTCAACATTTCAATTTTTGATCCTCTTTCTAATCTTGAGTTCCCTGGTTTGCAGGTAACATCTTGCCCTCTGCCTCGATTTTCCTTTCTACTGCCTATCTTTCTCAAGAAAATGGGCAGAAGACTTGGCAATATTTGTTAGTTTTTTGTAATCTGCACCCCAACACCTAACAGAATCAGTTACTTTGACACCGTAATTAACATTAATAATATGTGATGCTAATAATTCTGATAAATGATGCTTATTTCTCTCAGACAGCCTATTAAAGCCAAAGTCTAAGTTATCTCACATTAACACAGCTGTGTATGATCTCATATGCTATTTTCAAACAGTTTTTCTTGGTTGTGTATTTAGCCTAAATCTCCAGCAATTACATGGTATTTCATTTCATTTCTGTAATGCTAACTGTACTTTAAAATATTAAATTACAACTAATGGAATCTCCCTTCCTTTATGGAAACAGATCCAAGGCAAATCTATAGAGTTTGTGGAGTGAAAGGGATAGGGCCTGTTCATTTTTAAAGCAACTACTATTTATTCTCTGAAAGTGTGCTGTTTTCAAAGTGGCCATCAGTGACAGTTTCCCAATAGCTCAATTTACCATTCTTCCTAACTGGACAGCAAACATTTTAAAGGTATCAGACAGCTCCCTCTGAATTCTCTATGTATTGTTGATTCTTCACGAAACTACTACTTGTTCTTAATGCAATTTAGGCATCAGCATATTTCCATGATCTTTCACACCCCTACACAGTGATTTTCTTCCTCTTCTCATAGGTTAAACTACTACTCAGTACCATAGATTTCTGGAATTGCACCTTTAGGGAAAGAAAAGGTGAAAACTAGAGAAGTCTCATCCTCTCTGCCACCCAAACACACACACACACTCATACAATCAACGACACCCTCCAAAATAATGTTTCTGAATTCTCTATAGAACAACATGGCAAACATATTTCAAAATACACTTCATCCAGTCTTTACAAACAACTTAGCAATAGATCCTTTGAGTTTGGAAAAATATCAACATTGGGTGAAGGGATAAGGTGACCCTTTGAAATTGCCTGCAGCACAAACAGGAAACCAGAACACCATCTCCTTTTCCAGCTCCCACGACTGCTCCAAAGTGGAGCCAACAAGTCCTGCAAGACGCACACGCAGGTGGCCACTAGGGACGTCCCATTTCTAGGCACCATTTAGCAAGTAGAAGAGGGAAACCCCTTAGTGGGTGCCTCGCTCTGTAAATGGAATGGAATTAAAGGCAGTCCCCTGGAACTGCCTGGGATGCCCAGCCTTGGGCTCTGGGACGCGCAGCACCGGTCCTTACCTCAGACTTCCACACGACATAGGGGTGGCCTCGACTGTCAGGTGGGGACTGGAACTTCCTCTGCTGTAGCCACCTCCTAGGAGAAGTGAAGATGCCATTGGGGCCTCCCCCAGAGGAACAGAGGATGCTCGAAGCGCTTCGGCTACTGGCTGGCCCGGCCAGGACAGAAGGCAGGTCCCATGCCATGCTCTTCTTGAAGCCGCCGCGACCCAGGGGAACCTCATAGTCAAAGTGGAAGCTGCTGGATGGTGACTTCTCCTGAGGGGTGCTGGGTGTGGAGAAGGACGAGCAAAGGGGTCCAGGAGGCGGTAGCCGGGTGGCCCTGGGGGGCGGACCCCGGGGAGAGGACGCCAAGCGAGGGCCGAGACCCTCGGTTGGGAGTGATGGGGAGTAGAGGCGGCCCGCCGTGGCCCCTCGCGCACCGCCCTCCGCGCCAGTCTCGCCACCCCCGCAGCCGCCGATCAGGGCTGGGTCCAGGCTGCGGGTCTGGCGCAGCTTCCTCTTAGAAAAGCCCTTGGCCGAGGCCGCACTACTTGAGGCAGGCGAGGAGCAAGAGAAGACGCTGTGTAGCAGGCTCTGCCCGGACATCGCGGCGGGGCTGCGCCTGAGGACCACCTTCTCCCTGAGAAGGACGCTGGTGGCTTTGGGTCCGGAACGCAAAGGGACTCAGGCAAAGCTGTCAGGCGGGGCTGGCCGTGGGGGTTTGTCCAGGGCGGTGGAGAGCAAAGCCTGGCTCAAGCGCCGCCGGCGCGTTCCATATGCCCCGGCGGGGGCAGAAGCAGCAGATCCATCACCAACCTTCTAGGAAAGTGGGTCTGGGGGCCTCCTGCAGCCGCTACAACCTTCCTCTGGAGCCCAAGGCGCGAAGAGGGTCAGGAAGAAGAGGAGGAAGGTCAGGCGCTCGCTGGGTTCGCAACTCCAGCCTGCCAGCGCCACTCCCCCTTCCCAGCTGAGGCAAAAGACGCGGCGCTCCTGCTTTCTGGCTCCGGACAGCCTCTAAGTCTCCAGCAAGCTCCTCCTTGCTGCCCGAGGACAGTCCCGAGGGCCAGGGAGGAGGCTGCCTGGGAGTGCGCCCCAGGCGCGTCCACCGCGCTCCAGGCGCCGCGAGAACTTCCTCCGGCTCCTGAACCCAGCACCCTCTCCTTGCCCCGGCGCCCGAGGTTACGCGCCCGGCCTCCGCTGGGCTGCTGCGCGCACTCTTCCGACTGGAGAGGCTCAAAGGTGGTTTCAAGCTCCAGGTTCCCGCGGGGTCTCAGTCTTGCTGCGGTGTGACGACACCGAGCGTGCTGCGCCCAGGACCTCCAAAGGCTGCGTGCCCACGGTGGAAGAGAATTCCCGGCTGCGCTCAGCGCTCTCGGTGGAGGAGGGAGCTCAGGAGAGGGCCCCAAGACCGAGTGCGCGTGTTCCGCCGGAGAGGAACATGATCTTCGCAGCCCAGCCTTGGGCCCAGGGCAGACGCGGAGATGCCCCGCACGCTAGCGCTAGAGGCAGCGGGAAAGGGGCGGCCGGGACGGGTAGGGCTGGAGGAATGCCGGGGCTGGAATTGGGGCGGAGCCAGGAGAGGAGAAAGCAGAACGTGAAGAGTTTTCCAGGCGCCAAACCTGCCAGCGGCGCGGAGAGAAGGCAGCTTGCCACTGATACTGGGTCTCCTGGGGAGAAAGTCGTGAGGACGGAAGTGCGGACCTTCTACCCGCTCTTCCCACCCCCAGATCAAGGGTCGCGCCAGCTCCACTCACGTTTCTGGAAAGGAAGGGAAGTGTCAGATTGCACCCCACCCACTGGTGTCAGATGGGCAGCCCGGCACGGTTGCTCTGAAGTTGGAGCTAAATCTCCTGCCTTTCCTCCCCGCGCCCCCACTGCCCCTCCCCCGGCTTTTTTGTTTTTAAAAAGAAAGGATAGATAGGAGATTCAGTCTAAAAGCAGTGGCTGCCAATGAATGAGCTGGAGGTGGAGACCTACTAAAAAAGTGGAGGGGGAGGAGTCCTCGCCGTGGAAGGGGTCCTGAGCACGTGTGGAAACGTGCTCTAGGAGGAAGGGTGAGTGAGGCCGGGCAGGGGGTAGGCGCCGAGCGCAGCTTCAGCCCTGAGGCTACAGAGATTGGCGCTCACAAAGCCATCTGTCTCGGAGTCCCGCTCTGGGACGCCTCTGGGCGCAGCGCGCAGTGGCCACAGTCATGGGAAGCTGGAGAACGCTGGTGAAATCAATCTTCCTGGCAAGGAGCTGAGTCTGAGAGCAGCTTCTCCCGCTGTTGGACCCCTGGAATCTATAAAGCGCAAAGCCTCGCCCTCGTCTTGGAGGGCTTTTTGACGTAACATTTAAGCTTTGCAACGCATCTTACAACCATCTCAGCAGGGAGCAGTTGATGTTGGAAACGTCTACTTTGTGTTTGTGTCCTTTTTTATCACTTAGTGATGAAGAAAATTTTATACAAATGTAAAGGTGACTTTACCATTTCGTTTTTTGGAGAAAAAATTACAATGAAGTTATAAATACAGGTGTTTGACACGAACGTTTGTCTTGCATATCTACCAGAATCGTCCAAGTTTGATTTTGGAAGACTTCCTTTATTCCCTATGACATTTTCAGGGGAAAAGTTAATTAACTTTGACTCTTTGAAAAGCGTGTTTGGTGTTCCTAGCTGTTCAGCTACTTTGGAGGTGTGTCATGAAATCTAATTAGGAGAATTATATTCCTCCACAAAGGGCGTGGGACTCCCAGTTCTTGGCTGTACTCGTTTTTGGTAAACGCAGCGGGACAGACTGCACCCGGTGAGTTTTTTCCAGTAGCTTTAACGAGCTATCTGCTGCCTGAAGACAGTGGGTGAGTCTAGTTTCCCATCCCCCACCGCTGTCCATCTCTTCTCACCCTGAGCCTTTTAAGTATTTTCAGTGGCTGTCAATCAGGTGTGCTGCTGAGAGGCACAGTCTTTAAAAAGAGCTCTTGCTCTCCTGCCTGACTACATACACAGGCCAAGTTACATTTGGGGGCTTGTTGGCATTGGCTTTCTTCTCTCCTCATACAAGTCACATTAGATGTAAAAGTGGGTGGGTCTTGTCTGCCCCTTCTTTCGTAACAAAACTGTGTAACTTATCACTAGTAATGGAAACACTTAATGTCTCTACCACTGGGATACCATTGCATGGTTATGCCTCATTGCATGGTTATGCCTCATTGGAGTTTGGCATTCAGGGTAGATGGTTAACAGAATCACTTCACAGAACCAGTTGTAACTCAAGGGGTTTGAGCAACTTGGTGATTGTATTTGATGATTCATATAAGTTCTATTTCTCTAAGCCCATATGATGACCATGGGGTAGCAAACTCACCCCTGCTATGACTATATAGGCTAGTATGGATGCCCTCCAGGCACAAGGGCATACATTCTTGGTCATGGGTGTTTGAGAGCTGACCAGCGGAGGGATTCTTCTATTGGCACTCGTAGGGCTTGGAGCAGACACATGCCAGTTAATTCATCATCTAGTTTCCAAATGTTCCTGACCCTCCAGGAAACTGGAAACTTGTGTCACTACTGGGAACAGTGAATAAATTGTTTTAAATATTAATCAAATTAGACTGGGGGTCCTTTTAAAATCTCAGTGTAAGTATGTGTGCTTTTAATACATGGGGTAGGTGTGTTGATGTTTTGCTGGAAAGAAAGATTTCATAAGAATAGTTTGGGATTTCTTTTTCATTTTTAAAAGTATTTTGATTTTCAACCTGACTGCTATTAGGTTTACCTTGCAGTCATGGCGGCTTATGGTGGATTCATTCATTCCTATTGAAAGCATCTTATTTAACTCTTGTTTGTTATATATTCTCTTTGCTTATGTAGACTCAACTCACATTGGCCTTTACGATCAACTGTCAGGTTATGCCAAATTCAGTTAAGGAAGATCCTTGGGTTTTGGTTACCAATTTCAAAAAATGCCTCATTTTGTTACATTGCTTCCCAGAATTCTTTATTTTTTTCCATTTATTTATTTTATCGCATTTTAGGTTTTGGGGTACATGTGAAGAACATGCAAGATTGTTGCATAGGTACACACGTGGCAGTGTGATTTGCTGCCTTCCTCCCCATCACCTACATCTGGCATCTCTCCCCTT